CTACGTACTTCGGTTTGAGTACCCGGACAATATTCCAGCCCTCATGTAAATCGTATGATTTATGCGGCGTATATCTGTTTAGTGTCTCCTTGAAACAATGGTTATGTGTTCAAATAAATCAATAAGTATTACATAATGAGTACATTATCATTTAACTAAGGTGACAGATTCTATATAAGCCAAACAGTTTTTCATTTGACCAATATTAACACAGATTGAGTCAGGATTATCTACTTATTACAAAATTATAATCAGAGTAAAGACTGATTAATTTATGTTACATGAAATATAATCAATAGATTATAATCATACCATTTATAGAGGAAGGAAAACATGACAATCAAATCGAATAGACAATGACACCATGGTTACAGACACCAAACTATCGAATCACTTGTGAAGCAAAGTTAATAGCTCATTTCTATATTTATTTAAACACATAAACTTAGGTACAAGAAGGCACCAAATATATATGCACCACACATGTCACTTGATTTGTATGTGGGCTTGGATATTGTCCGGGTTCCCAGATCGAAACAGTTGGTTTACTTAGGGGGCCACAACCAGAGCCTCCGACCTAAATCTTTGATCCACATTGCAGTAGAGCAACATTAGAAGATACAGTCCCATAGTAACCGGTGACTAAGAATGGGTTCATACGCCATTTGTTCCCTTAGGATACGGGATCCTATATTGACCATTGGTTTGGAATGAGGGTTTTTCAACTCCCCTAGGTAGACTCCCCGTGTCCATCAAACCGGTTAAAGCGTTGGACATTCGCTCTTCGTCCTCTCAATTTCGTAAACAACAGTAATGCTGCGAGAAGGCAGTGAGTAGGGCTTCTCTGGCAGTAGTTGTATGCATGTGGCCATGTGAGAGCATTTGGAGAGGGAAAGCTGACTTTCCCTACTCTCGGCCGTACCAGGGCATTCTGGGGTCCGTTTCTATATTAAGTATATGTTGATAATTTTGTTTAGACAGATAATGAAATCTTCAAATTATAAAATTAACAGCATATAAACACCTTTGGAAAGTGATAATAATTACCCATCGACTATCATCTTAGTACTGAAGCAATAAACAATTGAATTTAATCCTGTATCAAATAGAAACATCCAAGGCGGCCCTCTTGAATATCTGGGCTACCTGTTCCTGCCATCTGGATATTTCAACAAGTTATCAGTTCTATCTGTTCTGTCTCTACTCGTTACAGATTAGCTCCACTGGTTACAGCTTCTCACTACAACTCTTAAGAATTCCTTCACGAATCAAATCACTAGTGAGCATATGTTTAGATGGTGGATGTGCACTACTGATGAGTCCCATAATAGAACCAAACGGTCATCCAGTGCTTCCAGGTTTTCAATAGTGGTCTAATATCGATCAGTTCATGATCTCAATCAAAAACTTATTCATCTTCACAACCCTATACTGATAAGTAATACGTATCATCAATCAAAAGTAAAATATCTGGCAGCAAAAGATTAAGAAGATCAAAGAGAAGAGGATGAGAACAAACAATGATTTATGTGGAAATGAAAGAAAAATGATGTTTGAGACAATGGATTGACATCTCGTAAATAGAGTATGATTCTCAGATTTTATTAAAAGCACCCAAATACCCTGATACGGCCGAGAGTGGGAAGATTCCGCTCTCCCTCTCCAGATGCTCTCACATGGCCACGCGTACACAGCCACTGTCAGGGAAGTCCTACTCACTGCCTTCTCGTGATGGGGGTGTTGTTTACGAAATTGAGAGGACGAAAAGCGAATGTCCGACACTTTAACTGGGTTGGTGGACATGGAGAGTCCACCTAGGGGAGTTGGAAAATCCTGATTCCAAATCAATGGCTCCAGGACCCTGAAGGGACAAATGGTGTATGAACAAATTGTTGGTCACCGGCTACCATGGGACTTCATCTGCTTACGATGCTCCACTGCCTTGTGGATCAGACCTTCAGGTCGAAGGCTCCGGGTATAGCCCCCTAAGAAAACCACCTGATTCGGTTTTGGCACCCGGTCAGTATCACAGCCCTCACACATATCAAATGAGAACTGTGTGGCGCATATGTATTTGGTGTCTCCTTGTACCAATATCCATGTGTTAAAATAATGAATACAAATTTATTAAGAGATCCAGTAATGTTTTTATTCAACTACATTTAGTTGTCACCCCACTGATATTATCATTCATTACACTATCACTAATTGTTTTGTTAAAAAATTTACATTTATTTGAAAATTCCATTATGTAATGGGTTTTTTTTGTATTTTGTAGACAACATGAATTTCCAATTTAGTCTACTTTATTCAAACTGAAGCTTTTTTCTTTCTTTCTTTCTTTCTTTTCACTTAAAGATCATGTCTGAATCCCTTATGGAGTAATCCATGTTAGATTGAGTAACTATATACAAAATTTATACTCGATTAATCTTGGTGCATAATTTTCTATCAATCTGTTAGATACTGGTTATAATTCAGTGTGATTAGATTGTATGAGTTCGATGATGGGCTCCAATACTTTATTAAATAGTGTCAACAATCATGAAAGAACAAACCAGATCCTAGCAGAGGAAGAAATTAGGAAGAAGCGCTGGAAATGGATAGGACACATATTGAGGAAAGCATCGCCCCCAAATACCCTGGTACGGCCGAGAGTGGGAAGAGTCCGCTATCCCTCTAGAAATACTCTCACATGGCCACGTGTATACGGCATCTGACAGGGAAGTCCTACTCATTGCCTTCTCGTGGCGGGGGTGTTGTTTACGAAAATGAGAGGACGAAAAGCGAATGTCCGGCGCTTTAACCGGATCCTGAACCAATGGTGCACATGGGCTCCAGTATCCTGCGGTAACAAATGGCGTATGAACCAATTGTTGGTCACCGGTTACCATGGAACTGCATCTCTTTACGATGCTTCACTGCCTTGTGGGTTAGACCTTTAGGTCAAAGGCTCGGGGAGTGGCCCCCTAAGATAACCACCTGCTTCGGTCTGAGCAACCGGGAAGTATCGCAGCTCACACGCAAATAATGAACTCTCTGTATCTATGGAAACTACTTTTCTCGCTTCGAGGAAAGCACCCAACTGCGTCACAAGACAAGCCCTCACATGGAATCCTCAAAGCCAAAGGTAAAACGGAGACTAAAGGACACAATACGCCACGAAATGGAGATAGACATGAGAAAAATGAACAAAAATTGAATGGAACTAGATAGGAAGGCGGATGACAGAGTGGGTTGGAGAATGCTGGTCGGCGGCCTATGTTCCATTAGTATTAACAGGCGTAAACAACAATCATGAAACCTACCCCAAGTTGAGTTCCTTACAACCATAAACTTGCATTATAGCATCATGTTACCTGAGGAAAAGAAATCGATATTGTAATATGTGGAGGGGAGGGATTTTAATCAGATCACAATCTATCTCAAAGCCTCATAGTTAGGGAGATATTCAAGTATGGATGAACTATTTTGAAAAGTGAATTATTCACCTAAATGAGGTCTTCTGAAATGTAGCCTTGTTCGGATCACTTCAATAATAAAGCTTTTTGTTCTACTAATTAAACCTCAAGCATCCATAAATTAGGTAGCTGTTTTATTCTGTCATATGATTATTATTATTATTATTTATGGCTTCAATAGTGAGTAACAAAGACATTGACAAGGATCTAACATAAGTTATTTATAAACCAGGGAATTGAAAGTCATTGAGACGTCTTATTCATTTCATTTATTCATTGAAATAATGTTAAATCTTTTATTACGATTGGTTTACAGCTGTCAAACTTCTGTTTCACCGAAAACTCCATTATTCATGGTTTCTTACTGTAATTGTAAGAGTAAATTAAAAACTTTAATTTCATGCTGACGTTCTATTGTTTGACAATTAATATTTATCGTATTGTTCAAACAACAGACACTTTGATGTTATAAATGGTTTAGGAAACGTAAGAGTATGTACTGACATAGGAATTCAGTGAGATCATCAACTGAATGTTAATTATTCTTAATGGTATAGATTTATTATTTCATTGCCTTCTATTAGATCTTGTGTTTTTAAATAACCTTACACTTAGTACATAAATTCATCTTTTCACGTTTATACGCTTGATTTCTATCACTTCTACCATTCTGACATTTGTTTTAATATTCACAGATTGAAATCATGAGTCAGTTGAAGCTAGACCACCACTGAAAACCTGGAAGCACTGGACGGCCGTTTCGTCCTAGTATGGGACACTTCAGCAGTGCGCATCCACGATCCCGCACCACAAGGGGCTCGAACGCAGGACCTACTGGCTTCGCGCGCGAGCACTTAACCATTAGACCACTGAGCCGGCTGGTATCCAACGGTGTTAATGTCTAACTTCAACCAATCCACGAAGTTGCGCCACCAGGTCTGTTGTGAGATATCAGCTCGCTAATGACAATGGTATATGGTGTGTATGATTTATTAGCTGGCCTCGATTTTCTACTTTTCAGCTCAAACTACTTATTTTAATTACAGTAGACAAATTACAAATGAATAAAATAATTGATTTTCGACTTTTCAATAAAACAGAACGTGAAATTAATTGAATAATTCATAATTAATACATGAAACTTTTCAATTCATGTTTTCTTTCTTTACATATATAATTAGATCTTTATCATAAATCTAATAAAAGATAGTTTAGAAAAATTAGAGTACAATAAGAGAAAAATGAATGAAGTAAGAATGTATAATATCGATGGAATCAAGTAGTTTTCATTTCAATGAACTTGATGTACTACTTCAAGAATTCATTGAATACCTTCAATACAAATAGATCTACCCATAATATTCGAGAAAATATGGAAATGAATAAGAATCTTGACAATATAATAATAATAATAATGATAAGACGAAATGCAAGAAAATGTTTTGTATTATCTCTTGTCAATGGTCATCATTATTGTCACCGTCTTTGATTATCATTGTCATCACCATCAGCATCGGCATCATCATGAACTTGATTACTTCAAGAAGGTATATTCGATTTTCTTCGTTTCTCTTCATACCATAACCAATTGATTAATGAAATAATAAGTACCAATATTAATATGACGGTATTCATTAAAGTTAATGAGTACCATGGATTATTATATGAAAAATAAGTCTACAAAGAAAGAAAACAAACAAACATATATTGATTATGAATATTAAGATAAGAGTGTTCAATCATATTGATTGTATAGTAGTTATAGACCAATGACAATTAAGTATGGCTGGTTAAACTTAATCGTTTAAACTACTGGTTGCTGGCTAAGTAATCTAAAGGTTAGACTAGAATGTTCCAGATTCTATCACTGGAGTGATCATGGATATACACTGTAGTAGTGACTCATATTTGGATGAAACACCTGTCGAATAATTCACGATTTCCAATGTCTGTTTAACTAAGATTGGTCTATAATTATGTCTATAGAACTCAATGATATCCATAGACTACCTATAGTATCCAAAAAAAAGGGAAATATAAAACTTGGATAGATGTTGTTTCTAGTACATATTTAATAAGTACCCAAAATATAATTCATTTGATGGCACTTTTTCTTATATCATATAACGACTCTTGGATTTCGGTGCGAAATTCATTCGTCCATATGGCTGCTGCTGAAGAGTCCTATACTAGGACAAAACGGCCGTCCAGTGCTTCCAGGTTTTCCATGGTGGTCTAGCCTCAATTGACTCATGATTTCAACCAGTGAAATTATAGTAGACGTAGATTTGTGATGTAAACCCCTAACTATAATTCCTAACCCTGATTTCTAACTCAAAATCCATATTATGAGTTCTAACACTATTTTATAGTTTTATTTTTAGACTCTAGTGGGTAGGTGAATTTTCTTTAAGTCATTTGGGGGGGGGTGCTCAAATATAATTGAGCTGGAAGAAACAAAGTAATCAGAGAAGGGCTTTTGTAACTATTATAGTAATTTAATGGTTGAATTCATGAGTCAATTGAAGCTAAACCACCATGGGAAACCTAGAAACACTTCTCAGTGGCAGTGCACATTCACGGTCCCGCTTCATGAGATACGAACCCAGAATCTATCAATATCGTATGCTAGCGCTTAACCACTAGACCACTGAGTCAGCCGGTATCCGACAGTGTTAATGTCTAACTTCAAACAATCCACGACATTGCCCCACCGTTCAATCAGATAGGTCATGGATTCGAATCTCGTGAGGCGCACTGTTGAGGCAGTCCCATACTAGGACGAAACAACCATTCAGTGCTTCCAAGTTTTCCATGATGGTCTAGCTTCAATGAACTCATGAATTCAACTGCTGATTATATTCTAAGCCTACAAAAAAAAGAACACAGCCTCTTCTTTAGTTTAACATCTAAGAGAGAAATATGATACATTTAGTTTGACATCATCATTTGAATTTACCTAACAAAGAATTAATTTAATTTACAAGAACAATAGTAGATGGCTAAGTTTGTTTTTGTCTCATGTGATTCGATTCAGGCAATAGAATTATTGATGTCTAGATAGAGATTAAAAGAAACTATTGATAGAATAATAATAATAATAATGATTAAGAACTCCGCCTGGAGTCCCTCCGGGGGCTACTGTCGGTCCCAAGCCCGGATAAAGGAGGAGGGTTGGGCATGGAGTTAGCGTCCCCATCCCGTAGAAAACTAACTCGCTAAAAAAACGCTAACCAGAAAAATAATGATTCAGATATCATATAGGGGTTGATAGAGCTTAATAGTATAGCCAAGTCATTTCATTGATCATTTTCTTACCCTGTAGCCTCTCCTCCGCCCCCCCCCACACACAGCTAAGTCTCAATGAAATATTTAAAAAAAATACGTTTGAATTCGGTTAGTAATTATTGTACATAAATAAATTGATAATACCCATAGGATTATCACTAGGGGGTAACAACATCTCAATGTAGTAATGACTTAATAATTGAAAAAAGCAATGTCTTTAACCTTAAAAGAAATGATAAACATACAATATGTGAATAGTTGAATCGGACCTATGTATAACTAATATTGCCTAGAATAAATAACAAAACGTATCATTCTATCATGATGTATGTATACAAGTCGCTAGGGGATTGAAGTAAATTCATACACTACAACAGATTCAATCATAAGTGGATTATCATTTGAATAATCTAGCAACTATGATAATACAATGAACAGTTTCGGAATCAATGAGAAGATTTGGAATGCTCCGATGACTGATCTCTTCTATCTCATACACACACACACGAACAAATGCAGATGAAGAAAACTAGTGTAGCAGAAGCTTTTGTCTGCCTCAACATATACAAGAGGAAAAAGAAAGATCTTCAACAACACGGTAAATACCAACACAATCACATTGGATGGAGAAGTTCTGGAAGATGTGAAATCTTTCAAGTACTTGAGAAGTATCATCGATGAACGTGGACGATCTGATGCAGACGTAAACGTAAGGATTGATAAAATAAGGACAGGATTTCCACAGTTAAAGAACATATAGAACTTAAAACAACTGTCAACCAACATGAAAAGAAAGAATCTACAGTATAAACGTCAAGATAGTTTTACAGTGTAAAGCTGAAACGCGAAGAGCTGCTACAACCATTATCAATAATGTATAAGTATTTATAAATAGTTGTCTACGCAAGATACTCAATGTCCGTTGACAGGATACCATCAGCAATAACCTACCGTGGGAGAGGACAAATCAGTTTCCAGTTGAAGGTAAAATTAGAAAGAGACGCTTGAGGTGGATGGGACATATTTTAAGGAAATCATCAAACTGTATGATGAAGCAAATGGTTCCCTGGAATCCTGAAGTGAAATGAAAAAGATGAAGGCCAAAAAACACACTACACCAAGAATTTGAAGCAGACATCGATAGGATTGCTTGGGACAGAGTTGGATGGAGAATACTGGTGAGAGGCTTATGCTCCTCGACGAGGAGTAATAAACGTACATAAGTAAGTCATCATGTTAGTCTGTCTTCCCTGTGTTGTAAATTTACTACTGAACGGATTTTCATTTACATATGAGTGAAAGTTTACACATACATTCCAATAGATTTCATGGCATACATTTGTTTGTACATAAGGAGAGAGAGCGAGAGAGAGAGTGTGTGTATATATGTGTGTGAGACAGTTTCATTCCCTTTAGAAACTTCTCAATGTTACTCTGGTGTATGCTACTGATGTCAACAGATATGAGTAGTATGTATCATCACACAAAAGTGAAATGCCTGGTGTCAGAAGGTTAAGAAGATTGAAGAGAAAAGAACGAGAATAGAGAATGATTGATGTGGAAATGAAAGAGCAATGAAGTCCGGAATGATTGCTTGACATTTTGCAAATGAACTATTTACAGTATGGTTCTCAAATATGACTAAGTGATTCTGTAATTATGTGTTCAAAAACGCTTGGTTGTCCTCGCAAGTGTTTTCCTTCACTATACTAACACTTAGCTATGATCTCAATACGAAATTCGACTTTAAGTATCTGAATGAGATCAAGTCAAGTGAACCGTTAAGGGTTTTTGAATTCAAACAATGATGCATGAAATGTCATCAGGTCTTATATTGATTGAATTCGACAAGTCATTGATATTTGATAGACATTCGAGAACAATCATTGTTCGATATGGATAAACAGGTTGTTTATCCACACTTCCATTATATAATATTCTTATGTTGGCTTGATTGTAAGTTTCTCGTTCATTGAACTGACTAACTATTGATAACTCTCTTAACACTCATAAATTACAGTTTGGTTAATTACATATCTCAGTAGTTGAGATCATGAGTCAATTAACGATAGACCATCATGAAAAACCTGGGAGCACTGGACGGCCATCTTGTCCTATTGTGAGACTGCCTCGGCAGTACGAACCCACGACCTATCAGTCTTGCGCGCGTGCGCTTAACCATTAGATTACTGAGCTGGCATCCAATGGTGTTAATGTCTAATTTCAACTAATCCACGAAGTTGAGCGACACATCCACCATTGTCATCAGTGAGTTACTATCTCACAACTGACTCATGATCTCAATTATTGAAATTACTATAATCTCCACAAAGCCCCATCTGATACTAATTACATATCTGTTAAGCAGTTTCTTACCACAATTGACCTAATCATGCGATCGATCTATATAATCATGTAAATTTCCAAATCATAAACTATAAAAAGCAAATGGATTGTCTTTTCTGGTATTCTAATTGCTCAGGTTGGGGACAGAGGCAATTTACATCGACCAACCAGCGTCAGAACAGGACAACTGAAGGTATTTGATGTTACTGGAGGAATGAGTACTCTTCGTTAATGGACTCAATCAATCAATAATCCTATTAAATGAGCATATGATACAAGGAGTTCACATCATTCATGTAAAAATAAGTCATTAGTAAGTATTCAGTTTGTGCTTTTCTACTTAGGTAGTTTGCATTAAGCTTTTTGGCTCGATAGTGAAACAGACAATCAAACATGAATAAACATTCACGGTAACGAATGCACGATCGTGTCAAACAAAATTAAAAGAAGCACTGGATAGTTGTTTTTGTCCTAGTATGAGACTTTTCAGAAGTGCCTAGCCATGACTCCACCACAGGAGATCAAACTCACGGTCTTCAGTTCCACATGCAAACGATTAACCTTTAAACCATTGAGACAGCACTTAGTGATGTATATTACTAATTTCAATTAATTCACGATATTGGCGCGACCGTATTCCACTGTCTAAGATGAATAACTGTCTCACCTGACATGGCTGAACTCTACTGATTACTCTAATTGCTGAGTCGCTCATTGATTAAAAAATCAAGTGAATTCACTATGTACATGACAACTATTCCAATAACTAGTGATAACGATATATACTTATACTTTTACATAATAGATACTGCCTGGATTCAGTGCTACTATCAACCCTGAATTAATTATGGGTAAATCGATGTAAATATGAAAGTGCGGATCGGTAAAGCAAGAGCAGCATATTTACAATTGAAGAAAATTGAAGTGAATCGATGTAAATATCACAAGATAAACAAGAAACGAATGTCTAAGTACTGTGCCAAACCCATCAGCAACTTGTAAAGGTATATAATACAAAGTTATTCCTTCAAAGAGATCATATTGTGGTGTGAGCTACTAAGATCCATATAAGTAGTATAAAACGATAGTCAGGAATAGAGAGTATTTCAGTAGAAGATTGAGAAGCAAACAACAGGAACGGAAAGCAATTGACATGAAAATGTAGGGACAATGAAATCTGAGACGGTGGACTGATAATTGCTAAAGAAACAGTCAAGTTTGAGACAATGGATTGATATTTTGCAAATAAAGTATTTACTATCTTGTAGAAACACATTCGATTGTGCCCACTTGTGTTTTCGTTCACTTCATTTGGAGTCGCTACTAACCAAAAGAGGGGAAGGGTGCTGTTCTTCGGTCTCAGATTTTACTAAGGTGTTCTGTAATGTTATGTTTATATACATTCGGTTGTCCCCACTTATGTTCATGATCACTACAAGATTACCAATGGACATTGATCAAACTCACCGATTAATATAAGTAGCGAAGCTTTCAATGAATTAGAACAAGTCTGAGCTTTTATTATAGGAGAGGAATAATATGATTTAAGTATGAAAAACAAGCAAACGTGATAATTTTCATTGTTGAGTTGCATATTACATCATTAAAGTGAATTAATGATGACTAATCTCTTTTTAATGAGAAAATAGTCATTATCATACGGAATTCCTATGATGGATTAAACTGCAAAATCGTGCATGGAGGACAGTTGACAAACTTGTTCGAAGTAAAGACCGGTGTCAGGCAAGGTTGCTTACTTTCACCCTTTCTCTTTCTCCTGATGATCGACTGGATCTCGAAGACGTCAACATCTGGGCTGGGAGGGGAAGCATGGGATACAGTGTACAGCTAGGATGCAGCTGGACAATCCAGACTTTGCAGATGATCTGACTCTTCTATCGCACACGCAACAACAAATGTAGGAGAAGACAAGCAGTATAGCAGCAGCCTCAATAGCAGTAGGTCTCAAAGTACATAAAGTGAAAACCAAGATTCTATGATACAACACAACATTCACCAATCCAATCACAATTGACGAAGAAGATTTGGAAGATGTAACAACCTTTACATATCCGAGCAGTATGGTGGATCCGATAAAGACGTGAAGGCGCGGATCGGAAAAGCAAGAGCAACGTACATACAAATGATGAACATCTTGAACTCAAAATAACTCTCAACCAATACCAAGGTCAGAATTTTCAATACAAATGTCAAGACAATTCTACCGCATGGGGCGGGAACTTGAAGAACTACGAAAGCCATCATACAGAGTATACAACTGTTTATTAACAGTTGCCTATGCAAAATATCTCAGATTTGGTGACGAGATACTATCAATAAAAACTTACTGTCGGAGAGAACAAACCAGATCCCAGTGGAGGAAGAAATCAGGAAGTAGCACTGGGAGTTGATAAGATACACATTGAGGAAAGTATCCAACTGCGTTACAAGACAAGCTCTCACATGGAATCGTCAAGGCCAAAGGAAAAGAGGAAGACCAAAGGACCCATTACGCCGAGAAAAGGAGACAGACATGGGAAAAATGAACAAAAATTGGAGTGGTAGTATTAGTAGTAGTAATAGAAGTAATTTAACCGTTGAATATATGAGTCAATTTAAACTAGATCACTATGAGAATCCTGGAATCAGTGGATGGCTGTTTTGTCCTAATAGTATAGAACTGCTTCAACAATGCGCATTCACGATTCCATCTCGTACATGAGCGTTTAACCACTAGACCATTGATTCGACCAACATTCAACAATATCATTTCTCAATCATTTTAACAAAATAAATGACTTAATTCTAGTTATATAAATATCATTTCATTCATTGAACACTTTACCTCATTTAACTTATTCGATGTATTCGTTGTTGAAATGTATGAATCCATTACATTTCTATTTGAATTCAATGTAACCGGTAAACTTTTCAATGTTTTTTGTTTTAATTCATTACTATCATTAGTTCTATTAGTAGTGATCATAGAATGTTTATATTCATTGTAGCATATCTTTGGTATAGTTTCATATAATGTATATGGCCAACTTATACAACGACGATGTTTATTCATGAATAATCCATCTTCTTTAATATGAAAATTACTTAATCGATTTGATTTCATTAATGATAGATTGATTTCATTCGATTGTATTGTATTATATAACCATTTCTCATTATTAGTAGTATCAGTAGTATTAGTAGTAGTATCGGTAGTGCCATAATCAATATTCATAGTATTATTATTATTACTATTACTATTACTAGTAGTAGTATTATTACTATTTGTAAAATTGAAATTTTTGACATTTATATCAGTAGTCAATCTTCTTCTTCTTCTTTTCATAAATATTGTTTTATCTAATGGAATAGTAGAATATTTCATGACATTATGATTCATATTAAATGGAGATAATGAACAATTTGATACAAATAATGGTTGATATGATGATTGATGTTGTAGTAGTTGTTGCTGTCGTTGTTGCTGTTGTTGTTGTTGCTCCTGTTGGTGTTGTTGTTGTGGTTGATGCTGTCGTTGTTGTGGTTGCTGTTGTTGTTGTTGCTGCTGTTGCTGCTGCTGCTGCTGCTGCTGATGATGATGATGAGGATGATGATGATGATGATGAGGAGGAGGAGGAGGAGGATAAATATGTTGAAATTGTTTACTAGTTAAACTATGTGATATATAATTTGGATATGTAGATTGTATAAATTGTTTAGGAAATTGTTTTAATGATCCTGTATACATTGAATTTCTTAAAGAAAATGGATTCATTTCTTGACTCCATAATATATTAGCATTTGTTAATGGTGTAGAAACATATTTACTTGGACATATAGAATTTGTATATACTGTAGATAATGTTGGTGTAGATAATGATGATGATGATGATGTTGATGTTGTTGATGATGATGATGATGATGAGGAGGAGGAGGAGGAGGCGGCGGAGGATGACGATGACAAGGATAATGTCAATGATGAGGTTGATGGTGAAGATGATGGTCGAAATTGTTTATTATCTGTAAGTGTCCTATTCATTATATATTGATTATGATTATCTAAATTTGTTTGTTTTATTCTATTCATTTCACGGGGATCTATATATGTGGAATCTTGTATTCCATACGAAACTCCTAGGGATGGTTTTATATATTCAACAGAGGTAAATCTTCCATAATTCATTGAATGAATATCTTCATCTGTTTGATAAATATGATCATTATGTATAAATGAAGGTGAAGATAACATTTTACTGGTAGGTATTTGATGTAAATTCTGATAGCAATTAAAATTACGTATAGTGTATAATTTCGTTTGAGATTGTGTTGAACGATCATTCATTATAATTCGTTTACCATCAGGTAATCTTTGATTTGGCAACTAGAATAAACAGAAAACATAACTTCATGAATAGAGAGTAAAGTTTCTGGAACACTGGTTTGACAGTACTTACTTACTTACTTACTCCTGTTACTCTTCGTGAAGGAGCATAGGCCGCCCACTAGCACTTTCTATCGAACCTTTTACTGAACAATCCTTTCTAGCTCTTTCCAGTTGTGATTCATCCTTTTTCATATCTGCCTTTATTTCCCGACGTAATGTGTTCTTTGGCCTTCCTCTTTTCCGTTCCCCTTTAGAATTCCAAGTTGAGGTATTTGTTGGACATATGGAATCTTAATTCAGTTGACAAATGTAATCCACTAACATTGTGTTTGCAAACTATTTGCGATAAAAGTTATCGTGTATTCACTAGTGACTATTTACAAAAGGTAATTTGAAGAGGTATAGTTAGAAGCAGTGATCAGTGAGATCCAACTACATTAAATGTAAGTCGGTTACCTACTAATGGGACTGGCAGGAAGTTGTGAAACATCACAAATTAATTGAAGTTATAAATGGGAATCACTGAACCCTTACTGAAAAACCTAAGAACTAAGCCCTTACCGCGAAACCTGCTGTTCCTAGGTTCGACCCCTGAAGAGGTCTTGGGCAGATATTGGTGGTTGATGAGTTCTATATTATGACTAAAAGTTGTCCAGTGCTTTCTAGTTTTCAAAGGTTGTCTAATTAAGTTCAGTTCGCTCTACAAATCATAAAATACATCCTTTACTATAATCGGAGTAATCTGAGAGCAACACTAGATCACATAAGTAAAGTTTAACTAAAGGCCTGATGCTTCAATATGTATCAATTTTCAAATAGGATAAACATACGAAACAAAGCACGAACTTTAAGTGTCTAGTCTATTATACTGATTGATCACAATTCTATTAACCTGTCGTTTCTATCAGTTATGTTCGTTTAACTAAACATACTATACTGATTTACTCTAGTGATCGAAAAGGTTTGACCAGTACTCAGGGAAATCAAACAAGTATGACACTGGTAATTACATTGAGTAATGCTTGTAAACATTCCTGTTATACAAGAGATCATTCTCTGATTGAGTAAATTCTCTGTAGAACAAAACAAAAACAGGTTGACAACAGAGTTTTCTTTGATAATCGTTTATGATGAAAGTCCAAATCTTACGATATCGGGGTTTTATTTTCTCGCTGGATTACACCTAATAAACACGTTTACAGGCTTTATTGTGACGTAATCTCTATGCGTTTCATGAGCAGTTGTTTTACTCCAACTCAATGACGTATTTTTATATATATGTCCTTATCCTGACAGTGCCTTGGCGATAGCAGAGAATCTTCATGTTATGAACAAACCCATCAGTGACCGAATTCTACCAATTCAAATAATACTAAGAACACTAGACAAACATGGCATTATTCAACTACTACTCAGTTATTAATTAATGTATGTATCCAGTAGTGAGATGGTAAAGATTTGTAACTCAGGTGGATTATTTTTATGGAGTGTTGTTCCATCTGAGCTGGATGATTCTTCTGAATAACACCATCAGCACAAAGTTTCATCATCACACCATCTAGCTCAAAGAACAAAACACTATCAAAAAGCATCCAGTAGTTCATAGTTAGTACTTACCAATGATCCGTATCGTTCTAACGAGTGATGATGACCCCTTGGAATTATAGACTGTTTATATAAAGTTGCACTATCTTCATAAACATTATCGTCATCATCTATATCATCAGTAGGATTGATAATAACCGGACGTACATTTTCATTCACATCATCATCATCATTATCATCATCATCATGATGATGATGTCCGTCATCAGTAGTGTAAACTGTCGGTATTTGATATTGATTAACATCATATGAATTTGTATTATCCCATTGATTATTATCTAATGGATTAATATGTCGTAATAAATATAATTTCTTTAAATCCATAGGAGATTCTCTTATTTGAATCGGATCCGATTCATTCATTGTTGAATCAATATTGATTGATTGATGATAAGGTGTTGATTGAATTGTTGTTGAACTTAATTCTGACTTTTCACTGATACATTCAACATCTGGTACAATTCCATCAACAGTATCATCTAATGGATGTGAATGAATCGATTTAATGATTGGTTGTAATGATGATAATTGATGTTGTGGTATATTGAATTGTTTACTATCCATCTTTGAATAAGCTGTATAATTCTCTGGTATCCAATAATGTGGTTGAATATGAGATTTGAATTGTTTCGACACTTCATTATGATAGGAACTGTAATAAATAGAAAAGAATGTAGATATGTATTTAATGAAGAATATCTATAGGAATATTCATTAGAAAATGTTCATTTTAAAGTAACTTATTAACATCTTACTTCTGAAGATTCAGAAAACTCCTCGAAATGAAAGTCACTTAATTACTTACTTACGCCTGTTACACCTCGTGAGGGAGCATAGGCCACTCATCAACATTCTCCATCCAACCCTGTCCCAAGCAATCCTTTCCAGTTCCTTCCAGTTTTTATTCATCCTTTTCATATCTACTTCTATTTCCCTACGTAAAGTGTTCTTTGACCTTCCTCTTTTTCGTTTCCCTTCAGGATTCCAAATTAGGGCTTGTCTCGTGATGCAGTTTGATGATCTCCGTAGTGTATATCTTATTCATTTCCATCGGGTTTTCTCAATTTCTTCTTCAGCTGGAAGCTGGTTTGTTCTCTCCCACAAAACGCTGTTGCTGATGGTATCCGGCCAATGGATGTTGAGTATCTTGCGTAGACAACTATTTATAAATACTTGTACCTTCTTGATGATGGTTGTAGTAGTTCTCCAAGTTTCAGCTCCGTACAGTAGAACTGCCTTGACGTTGGTATTGAAGATTCTGAATTTGGTATTGGTTGAAACGAAAGTCAAGTAAGGCTTTAAAACGCTGTGAAACATCTTATCCAATCTGTGTTGCCAGAAACATTCTAGAGAGTGAAACGTCATATGTTGAGTTTCAGGTTGGTTGATTAGTAGCATACCAGAATTTTCTGGAAACTAAAGGATATCTAAAATATTATTTAATAAAAACTCTAGATTTTCTGTACATAAAGGAATCTTTGGAGTGAAACGTTTCTTCCATATCTCATGCCTTTTCTCTTGTGTTCAAGTTGCTGTGTCGATCTAGCCTCGGGTGGGGATGGGGGTACAAGAAGAGCTTAGGAACCGAATCTAGCGTTCAATTTGTAGACTTATGAAGAATTTAAATGTATATGATAGTTGCTTCTTACTTATTCCTAAGGCTTTGAAACAATGAAGAAGATTCATAATTCGGATGGATGATTTACAATTTATGTTGTATATTTTGAGTTAGTTGGTGTATGCACTAATTTTAAAATCATTCCACCATATTGTCCAGAATGAAAATAAAACTTCCACAATTAAAACAGCTGACTTAAAGGAGAAACTTACTTACGTACGCCTATTACTCCCAATAAAGTATAGGCTGCCGACCAACAGTTTCCAACTCCACCTGGAGCCCCTCCAGAGCTTCTGCCGGTCCCAAGCCCGGATAACAGTGGATGTTTGGAAATGGGGTTAGTGACCCTATCCTGTAGGAGACTATCTCGCCAAAAATATGCTAACCAGAAAAAAGTAATTCAAACCATTTAAACTCCGCCTTGGGAGTTGGAAGAGTTATGACGACTGATGATGAAAGCCCAGTTCCTTCATAAGTCGCGAGGCTGATGCCTCTTCTGACAATCAGAGCAACCATTATAAAAGGGAACATTTACAATATTTCGATTACCCTTTAGAAATCTTCATTGAAAAACTCAAATAATAGATCTCACTCACAATGATCATTATAAAATGGTACATAAGTTATCTATTCTCTAGTAATATTGTAGTAGTGAACGAGAATATAAGTAGGAACAATTGAATGTGTTTGAATATAAAATTGCAAAATCTCTTGGTAAATTCTGATAAATAAACTGCATATGCAACAAGTCAATCAATCGTCTCAGACTTTACTGTTCCTTCATTTCCATATCACAATCATTCTCTGTTCTCATTCTCTTTACTTTGATCTTCTTAACCTTTTGATGTCATCAGGCATTTCACTTTCTATTGATGATACATGCTACTTACATCAGTTCTAATGAAACTCTGTTAAACTTTATTACGATCGTGAATATGCATCATTCAGAAGTTGGTTGCCTAGTAGAATGGGAATGTTAACCAAAGTTTATTGGGTTCAATTGAGAATAATCTACGACTAATAATATAAACTACAAATATTTAGTTGAAGTTAGACATTAACACCGTTGGAGGCCAGATCAGTGGTCTAGTCGATCAAGCGCCTGGCGCGAGACTGATAGATCCTGGGTTGGAATCCCGCGAGGCGTGATCGTGGATGCGCACTGTTGAGGAGTCTCACGATAGGACGAAACGGCCGTCTAGTGCTTCCAGGTTTCCCATAGTGGTTTTCATGGTCTCAACTGTTTAAATTACAAATGTTTTATCAATAATTAAGCATGATTTAATAATCAGCGTCTAAATTTCTCCTCCCCTCTTTTCTCTCTCCCGCTCTCTCTCTGTCAGAGAAAATTATGCAAACAGTTACAAATGTAAATAAGGTGTGTGTGTGTGTATGTGTGTTTACCTTAAGACGATCGCTTTAGGCAACTACATCTTATGGTTTCTCCTTTGAGACATCTCTCTATTTGTCTGTCTATCTCTCATTGTATTTATGTTAGTTTACTTTCATATGTTTGAGAGTTGGGATTGTTAGCATATAGTGTATAGTATTAGTCTATGACAATGTATGTATGATGTACAGTGTATATCTGTACTTCGAACTGAATAGAAAGATTCGATTTAATCCAAAGGTGTTTCAATTTATTTATTCTTATTTCATTTTGTATAACTTTGACTGTTCTTATTTGATTGTTTATTCCCTTGAGACTTTAAGTATTGCTAAACAAACATACACATTCAATTATTTGCTTGTATCTTCCGATTAATGTTTAGGACTGCAATTGATTAATCTATTGTTGGCATATATACATCCTGTCCGTATTGCCTTGATATTGACTTAATTCATAAGTATTATAAGTAAAGATAGATAGTGGTTAGCAGTGAAATCTAGGACGCACGTTTCGTCCTAGTTGGAACTCGTCACCTAGATGTATCTGCATTTCAGAGTTGATATTCACTCTAGAACTCGAACCCAGTACGCTACCGTTCGGTACAAACTCCACGTATTTTTTGTGTCCTGATAGCCACTTTCTTGTGTAATGAGGTGAAGTTTAGATTCAATTGGTATTGTTTACTTGAATCTTCTCATTGATGCTAAGGACTGTAATTGATCAGTCTCTTGTTGGCATATATGCATCCTGTCCGTATTGCCTTGATATCGACTTAATTCATAAGTATTATGAGTAAAGATGGATAGTGGCTAGCAGTCGAATCCAGGACGCGCGTTTCGTTGATAATGTGATGGCGTTTGAAGCGGATGGTACTGGATTCCAGTATCGGAGCGGACATCAACTCTGAGATGCAGGTACATCGAGCTGATGAGTCCAAATAGAACGAAACATTTGTCCAGGATTCAACTGCTAGCCATCATCCATATTTGCCTATATATATATGCTTAAAATGCATATAACCTAAAAGAGACTGATTAATTAACAGAGTCCTTAACATCAACAGTTGGAAGATTGTAACTGTGATAAGAAAAAATGAATCTTTTTAAACAGAAGCTAATATGTACACTAATTAATGATTCCAGTAACAATATCGATTAATTTAGATAACTTCATGTTACTTTGTAATCTGTGTATTATCTACCATTTAACTAGATTCATTCTGTACCAGCTAATATCATTAGCCATTTTTATACTACTAACTAGAATCATTAAAAGTATCATCAATGTTCTATAATGGACAGATTTTCAATAGTTGAAATCATGAGTCAATTGAAGCTAGATCACCATGGAAAACTTGGAAGCACTGGATGACTGTTTCATCATAGTATGGAACTGCCTCAGCAATGTGCTATCCACGATGACGGCCCTCGCGAAATTTGAACTCAGGACATATCAGTCTCGCTCGTGAGCTCTTAACCATTAGACCACTGATCCGACATCCAACGATGTTAATGTCTAACTTCAACCAATCCACAAATAAATAGATTTTCATCATAAAATAGTTATCAATCTCAACTGTAATCTGTAATTGATGCATCTTTCATTTAAATGTTTAGACATAGATTTCTTCGTCCAAGTTCCTAGTAGTTTGTTATTGAAATTTAAAGTAAAAGAAATCAAATAGTCGAAGATATGAAGGTAGCTTATGTATGGAAAACAAGGTTATTTATGTATGACCTCAGGAGAGTTCAGACGCTTCTGAAAGGTAAGATAAATTGTGTATTACAATTAGAAAGTTGTTTAATCAGATAACAAGAATATAAATTATCATTAAGGAAGCTTTTAAAGATTTTTTAGCATTTTATTAGCTTTGAATATCATTTCAAAGGAATTGTTGAAAGCTCCTAGAAGTTATATTTTTTTGGTGTTTTATTTTATAGAAATGTCTCATTGCATATTATTGCCCTCAAATGCTATGGTACGGTCAATGGTGAAGAAAGTTAGTTCTCTCTCTCCAAATGCTCTCAAATGACCATGCATATACAGCCATTATCAGAGAAGTCGTACTTACTGCCTTCTTGTTTACGTAAATAAAAGGATGAAAAGCGAATGTCCGGTGCTTTAACCGGGTTGGTAGATATGTAGTTCCACTTATGAAAGTTGGAAATCCCTGATTCCAAACTAATCGTGCATATGGACTCCAGGATCCTGAGAGAACAAAAGGTGTATGAACTTATTGTTGGACACCAGCTTCCATTGGACTGCATCTCCTTATGTTGTTCCATTGCCTTGTGGATTAGACCTTTAGCTCGAGGCCTCCAAGTGTGGTCTCCTAAGAAAACCACTCAAGCAGTATCACAACCCACATACAAATCCACTGACTTGTGTGACCTATATGTATTCGATGTCCCTTTATACCAATATTTATATGTTCAAATAAATAAAATTTCAACATTAATTATTTATACAAATCACTGCATTTCTAAAAGTAAGTAAGCAAGTAAGTAGTAAGTAAGTAAGTAGGTAGGTAAGTAGGTAATTAATCAATTAGGTAAATGAGTAAGAAGTGGTGGGTATAAACGCTGGAATGAAAGTTTACGAATCAAAAGTTCAGTACTCTTCTAGTCACGACGGATTTCTCGGAGTGCGATGGTTCCAGGTCTGTACCTATATGACTTCTTCACGTTCCCCGGTAGCTGGGACACTTTTGTGTGCAGCCTTGATGGTTAGCTGCTTTCGAGGTGCTTTACCACCTGTTCGTTTGTGAGCAGTCTGTTTGGTTCGTGCCATTCCAAAATACCGATATAAGTAAGTAAGTGATTAGGTAAGTGAGTAAGTAGGTGGTGGGTAGGTAAGTATGTAGGTAGGTAAGTGAGTGAGTAAGTAAGTGGGTCAGTAGGTTGCTAAGTAAGCAAAGTAAAGTAAAGTGATTTATTTATTTATTTATTTTAACACATAGACATTGGTACAAGGAGGCACCAAATACATATGCGCCACACAAATCTCATTCGATATGTGTGAGGGCTGTGATACTACCCGGGTGCCCAAACCAAAGCAGGTGGTTTTCTTAGGGGGCCACTCCCCGAGCCTTCGACCTGAAGGTCTGATCCACAAGGCAGTGGAGCATCGTAAGGAGATGCAGTCCCATGGAAGCCGGTGACCAACAATTGGTTCATACGCCATTTGTTCCCGCAGGATACTGGAGCCCATGTGCACCATTGGTTCAGGATCCGGTTAAAGCGCCAGACATTCGCTTTTCGTCCTCTCATTTTCGTAAACAACACCCCCGCCACGAGAAGGCAGTGAATAGGATTTCCCTGACAGAGGCTATATACGCGTGGCTATGTGAGAGTATTTCGAGAGGGATAGCGGACTCTCCCCACTCTTGACCATACCAGAGCATTTGGGGGCAAAGTAAAGTGAACTAACTAACTTACCTATATGATCGATGAGATCGTTTAGGACTTGTTGATAATTTACGTCGTGCTATGATTATATGTCGTTTATTGAATTGTGGAATATCTTCATGATTTATAGGAATTTTTAATTTTTTCGCTTTTGGTGATACATTTGTAAAATAATAATTCGATGATTGAATGTAACATTTTTTAGAATTTAATCTTGAATTAAAATCCTTTAGATCTGATCTCATAATGATTGATTGTAATGTAGGTTTATATAAAATTGTTGTTGGTATATTCACATTCATAGATGATTCTTGTTTATTCATCTCTGATGAATGATTCAATGATTGAATAGAATAAGTTTCATATGGATCTATAGATAAATAACCAGAATCTTGTGTTGAATTCATACCTAATTTAGGTGGATGAGATGAATTTGATTGAATATTGATTTTATTATGATTAATTTGATTGGATAAATTCATTGATTGTGATAATTTACATATTTGTATTGATTGTATTTTTTTTTCTTTTTTTTTCTCGTTTCCGTCGTCGTCGCCGTCGTCGTGGTCGTCGCCATCGTGTTCTTCTTCTTCTTCTTCTTCTTCTTCTTCTTCGATTTGTTGTTGTTTTAAATTTGATTGTAATTGATTAACCGATGATATTTCATGATTATTTTGTTTATTCATGTATTCATTCGATAATAAAGAAGAATTTGGTATATGAGTTAATGTAATAGAAGTATTATTAGGTAGAATAGTTGATAAATGGATTGGAGATAATGTTTTTTTAATATGTTGATTAGGTAATAAAGTATATCCTTCAGAAGTATACGATTTTGTATAAGAAGTTAAATGATTCAATGGTTGTTGATACTGTTGTCGATATGATGATATATTAACCTGTTAAAGATAGATAATAATAATAATAAGGTTATAGAAATGATGAAATTTTCATCGTTTACATCTCTTAGTAATCGAATGAATCATGAAGACGTCAACATCTGGGCGGCGGAGAGAAGCGTGGAATGCAGTGAACAGTTAGAATGCATTATAAGCAAAGATAGATAGTGGCTAGCAGTGGAATCTAGGACGCGCGTTTCGTCCTGTTTGAGACTCATCAGCTGGATGTACCTGTATCTCAAAGTTGATGTTCACTTTGGTCAAATTCATCAATTTCAGTCCTAAAACATCAATGGTAAGATTCAAGTAAAACAATACCAAGCGAGTTAGGATGCAGCTCGACAATTTAGACTTCGCAGATGATCTGACTCCTTTATTGCACACGCAACAACAATTTACAGCAGAAAACTATCAGTGTAGTAGAGGCCACAGCAGTAGTAGGTCTTTATTTTTACATTGTTAGGGATATTAAATCCCCAGAAATTACTTGATAAGAGTTTTTATTTTTGTAATTTTATTTTACACTGCTGAGGAGTCCCATGTTAGGACGAAACGGCTGTCCAGTGCTTTCAGGTTTTCCATGGTGATATAGCTTCAAATGACTCATGATTTCAATCAGTGAAATTTTTGATTTCTCATTTTCGTGTCAAAATTGCCCATTTTTACCTTCAGATTGTATTTCCCACTTAGAAGGACCTTAAATATCATTGGTTGGTTTCCTTTTTTTTAATATGCTATTTTATGACCTTTCCCAAGGACATTTTCATACTGTATATATACACTTGAGTTGTGTGGTTGTTCGTTTGTGCTTCCTACTGTTTGTGAAATATACTTTCTCCTTGGCTAGATTTGTCTCCTTTCTTTAGCTAGCAGAGCTGAAGCGTATTGGAATAGTTTAGCTTGTCCTATTTTTGTGTTGCCGACTTTGTTCCATTCACCAATTTAAGTGATATCTAAATCTCTTTAATTGTAGCACAATAATATTTCGAATGTTGAAAATGATGAATATATTAACAATTGGACTGAATATTTTTGATAAGCTAAGCAAGATAGACTAGACTATATGCCTTATAAGCAAAGATGGATAGTGGCTAGCAGTGGAATCCAGGACGCGCGTTTCGTCCTGTTTGGGACTCGTCAGCTGGATGTACCTGCATCTTAGAGTTGATGTTCACTCTGGGACTCGAACTCAGTACCGTTCACTTCAAACGCCATCGCGTTATCCACATAGGTACTGAGTCCAAAAAACATCAATGGGAAGATTCAAGTAAAACAATATCAAGTGAATTAGACTATATGCCGTTACAAAGATAAGATTGAAATGTAACGATGAGTGGATTACTATAGGTGAATGAATTATTCATCTAGGCAAGGTGATCACTAAGAAGTCTCTGTCTATTTATCTATCTAGGCAGTAATAAATACAAAAGAGTTGAGGAAATCACTATTCAACTTTCAACAATAAGGATTCTTGACAAGCTATAGTTATTTCTTTTTCCATAGTCAACTGGTTAATTATTTGGATGTATTCATTTATAACTGAATCAGATCATTCAACAAAACAATGTATCGCTCAGTTTTGAGAATCAACGGAAGTCAAAAATTAATATTGGCATTGTAGAGATGATTCAACGTTTGATTGAGATCATGATCTTGTAACTGGGATCGTGAAGGATTCCCACAATGGTCATCTAATACTTCTAGATTTTCAATGATGGTCTAACATCTATCGATTCATGATCTCAATCAAAAGTCAAATATATTCTAAAATAACCATATTCTATGCATTAAACTAAACAATCATTACTTACCATACTATTCATATAAGGATCTATTGATGTTTTACATATATCTATAATATCACCAGTGGATGAACTCATTTGTTTTGTTAACATTTCATTATTTCTTTCTATTGGTATAGTTTTTTGTTCTACATCTTCATTAGAAACTTCTTTTAATGGTGATATTGTTCTATCATTAGGTGAATAACTTCGTGTTATACCTTTAACATTTAATGATGTTTCATTCATGAATGTTTTATGAGGTGCAGAAAATGGACGAATACATTCATCAGTTATTGTTATTGTTGTTGCTGTTGTTCTTGTTCCTATTGTTGTTGTTGTTCTTAATGATGATGATGATGATGCCGATGATGGTGGTGGTGGTGGCGGTGGTGGCGGTGGTGGTGACACGGTAACATTCAGTAATTCATTACTCTTTGTCATTGGTTTTACAGATCGATGTAAATGTGGATTATTCAAATTTGCAAAACATTCAAATATATCCATAGATGTTTCATCTATATGATCCATTGAATTTGGTGTAGAGTCACGTGATAAGAATTTTTGAAAGAATTTACGTCTTTTTTGTGGATATTGATGTCGTTGCTGTTGTTGTTTCAACTCTTGTATATTGGTTAATGAATGTGTAGAAGGTTTAATCATTGGATATGATTGTAATTGTTGAGGATATTGTCGGTGTAAACGATCATGAATAAAAGGTTGATTTGTTGGACTATTTATTAAATGAGATGTCATATCTTCTATTTTTAATGTTGGAGAAGATGAATAAGATTGAGTGATTGGTAAATTTGAAGAAGTTGATAAATGATCCATAGAATTATTGGATGAATATAATCTTGAAGATTTTAATTCATTGGAAGAATCATGAATCATGATTTCATATTGACACTTTTTTCTCCATTCAATTCCTTGTGTTTTGGTTTTGAGAAAAGTAATAATCAAATATGATAACATTCATATATATATGACAAGTATGAAAACATAATGAGATAGGTTAATAATCATGTTTTTCATCAACTGAGATGGTTGAGCCATGGGTTGCATATGCCTGAACACCGATTACCACGACACACAATGCTGACTAGTGTTGGGGATGATTGGAAGAAAGTTAGGGGCGGCCAAACCAAAATGTGGCATCAGTGCTTGAAGTCACTAACTTCTGGTCTGAGCCATGTTAGTAGATACAGACTACTTGGTTGGAGTCCGCGTGACTACCGTAATCAATGGTTGGAGACTGTAGGTGACATGGCTCAGTGGCGTCGGTGTATACAATCTCTATCTCCTCTTAAACTGTGAAATTAAAATTGCTTTATATCTTTCTTTCTATGAATGTTGGGGACGTTAGATCCCCCAGAACTCAATTAGGAAAGGACCTAATTTTGTAATTTTATTTAGAAAATTTGAATTTCTTTATTTTCGCGCCAAAGGCGCTCTTGTCACCTTCATGGTGTATTTCCCACTGGGAAATATCTTAAATCCTATTGGTTCGTTGCGTCTTTTAGTGTGCTATTTGGTAACTCTCCCCAAGGACGGTTTTGTGATCGCTCGTTTCTGGTTGTTTGCAGAATGTACTTCCTCACTCCAAGCTTGGACTTCTCCCTCTAGTTAGCGGGGCTGGGATGCATCACTAGCTAGCTTACTGGTCCTTGGTCACCGTGTCTTGTTTCTCGTTCGCAGATTAAGTGAACTCGTGATAGCTTTAACCCAAGCAATGAACTAATTCTTTCTTCCTGTACTATATCCATATATTCAATCTTTCTTTTATATATTACCACCATTGAAGGGACTACTTCTATGAATTTGGTGTTCAACTTGTTGTACTAATGAGATATGGTAACTTGAACCGATGCATATATGTGCTTGATCCTACATTGTAGCTGATTGGTTGAGTGATAGTGTGTATACGTTTATTTACCTAAACCTTGGCATTTTATCTTCGTACAAGATCTAATGTTTTGAAAAACACTTGTTGTTTACTTATGTGACGCGTTTACACTCAACTATTTGACCAACTATCAAGAACACCATATGACCAGAACGAGGTATATTGTGACGAAATACAGAGGCAGATATATATAAGCCATTGTCCAGAAGATACAAGTGTTTATTAAAAGTTGCCTATACAAAATACTTCGGATCCGTTGGTCAGAAACTATCAGCAACGACCTAATATAGGAGGGAACAAACCAGATTCTAGCAAAGGAAGAAATCGGGAAGAACCACTGGTAGTGGATAGGACACGCATTGAGAAAGCACCTAAATGCATCACAAGGCAAGTCCTCACTTGGAACCCTCAATTCCAAAGGAGAAGAGGAAGGCCAGAGAACACACTAAACTGAGAAATGGAGATAGACACAAGAAGAATGAACAACAATTGGATAGAACTAAAAAAGATGGCGGAGGAAACAGTGGGTTGGAAAATGCTGGTCGGCGGCCTATACTATACTGTGAGTAACAGGCGTAAGTAAGTAATAAATATATAACATTATAAATACTAACTAGCATATCTGTCTGTTTGTACTCAGTGACCAATCACGGCTTGTTTCCCATTAGAGATCCATCAAAATTCTACCAACCAGCTGTTTAGATGATGTATCTGGCGGGAGATTTGAGATCAGTGAGTAAGTGGTTGCAAGTCAAATGCTTCAAACATGAAGTCCTAGATCCGCAGTAGAATAGTGCCGACAACTTGAATGATAAATAATATTTTAAGCTTATGTAAGGATATGATTATGAAGGTGTAGGGTTCTATAATAATTTATCTAACATAATGCCCACAAATGCCCTGGAATGGTCGAGAGTGGGGAGAGTTCGCTCTCCCTCTCGAAATACTCTCACACGGCCACGCGTATACAGCCTCTGTCAGGGAAGTCCTATTCACTGCCTTCTCGTGGCGGGGGTGTTGTTTACGAAAATGAGAGGACGAAAAGCGAATGTCCAGCGCTTTAACCGGATCCTGAACCAATGGTGCACATGGGCTCCAGTATCCTGCGGGAACAAATGGCGTATGAACCAATTGTTGGTCACTGGCTACCATGGGACTGCATCTCCTCACGATGCTCCACTGCCTTGTGGGTTAGACCTTCAGGTCGAAGGCTCGGGGAGTGGCCTCCTAAGAAAACCACCTGCTTCAGTCTGGGCACCCGGAAAGTATCACAGCCCACACATAAATATAATGATGATGAAAATGTGTGGCGCATACATATATGGTGCTCTCTTGTACCAATATTTATGTGTTTAAATAAATAAATATCTAACATAATATATGGTAATATAAATAGATAATGACTTAATATTATGCAACAGTTTACCTGGTTGATGAAATTTTGGTTCTAATTGAAATGCTAATTCTCTTGCTTGATTAGATAAATGCAATGCTTTCTGTATCATAGACATGGCTAAATCAGATGCTTTACGAGCTTTCAATGCACTAAAACACAAATGAATTTAGTAAAACAATAATAGTAAAACATAAACATTAGTATAAGAAGGTATCAAATATAAATATGAACCACATAAATCATTCGATTTGTTTGAGGGCTGGGATACTGTCAGGATGCCCAGACCGAAGCCGGTGGTTTACCTAGGCGGCCACACTCCGAGACTTTGACCTAAAGTTCTAATATGCAAGGAAGTGGAGCAACGTAAGGAGATGCAGTCCCATGGTCGTCGGTGACCAACGATTGATCCATACATTTTTGGTAGTTTCATGTTTCTGGAGCCCATATACACTATTGGTTCGGAAGCAGGGATTTCCAACTCCCCTATGTGGATCTTTCATATCCATTAACATTGTTGAAGCGTCAGACATTCGCTCTTCGTTCTCTCAATTTCGTAAACCCTAACACCCCCGCCACAAGAAGGCAGTGAGTACGACTTCTCTGACAATAGCTGTATACTCGTGGTCATGTGAGAGCATCTGGAGAGAGAGAGAGATAGATTTGATCCACCCTACTCTCTGTCGCATCAGGGCATTTGGGGGCAATGTCCATCAAACGTAACATGCTGGCATTGAATCTTGTAGACTGGAGAATCAAATACAAGCGAGAATATTGACAAAGATGGAAAAATTCTGAACTATTCTATAATAAATTATTTAATTCATGATGTCTTTACATTAGATCTTATTCAATTCATTGACTATTGGCATATATGTTTAACTATTCCTGTATTTTGTTGAGGATGTTAGATTCTCAGAACTCACTTAGTAAATATCTTATTTTTGTAATTCTATTTTAAAAATTTGTATTTCTTGTTTTCACTTTCATATCGTATTACCCACTTACTTACTTACGCCTGTTACTCCAAATGAAGCATAGGCCACCGACCAGCATTCTTCAACCCTATCTCTCCTCCGCCTTCCTTTCCAGTTCTGTCCAATTTTTGTTCATTTTTCTCATGTTTGTCTCCTTTTCTCGGCGTAATGTGTTCTTTCGTCTTCCTCTACTACTTTGGCCGTCAGGATTCCATGTGAGGGTTTGGCTTGTGACACAGTTGAGTGTTTTCCTTAATGTGTGTCCTATCCACTTCCAGTGCTCCTTCCTGATTTCTTTCTCCGCTGGGATCTGGTCTGTTCTCTCCCATAGTTGGTTGTTGCTGATAGTGTCCGGCCAACGGATCCGAAGTATTTTGCGTAGACAACTTTTAATAAACACCTGTATTTTCTGGATGATGGCTTTCGTAGTTCTCCAAGTTTCCACCCCATATAGTAGAACTGTCTTGACATTTGTATTGAAAATCCTGACCTTGGTGTTGGCTGACAGTTGCTTTGAGTTCCAGATGTTCCTCAATTGTAAATATGCTGCTCTTATTTTGCCGATCCGCGCCTTCACATCTGCATCAGATCCACCCATTTTGGAGGACCATAAATGCTGTTGGTTCGTTGTCTCTTTTAATATGATATCGTGTATTGTTTCTCAATGACATTTTTGTGTTGTATATATATATACGCTTGAGTTGTGCTTATTGTGGTTGATGTTCATGATTCTGGCTGTTAGTAGAATATATTTCCCTTTTCCGAACTTAAAGTTCTCCCTCTAGTTTTCGGAGCTAGGACACGTTGGAACAGCTAGATTATTGATCATTGTATTACGGAATTTTCGTTCCGTTCTCAGATTGGGTGAACTCGTAATCCTTTGTTTTTCGTCTCATAAACATAAGTTTTCCATTCGAATTTCTCTTGAGCCGACTCTTTTATGAATTTTAAAAAGATTTCTGGTGAACCGAAGTAATCAGAATAACGTAGATAGTTCAAGATTAAGCTTTTGATTGACTTCTGTAATCTTTTAGAAGGCTAGGGAGGATAATGCTCAGAGATGTTTTTTATTGCTTTGTATTCAGGTCGATATTGTCTGTAAAATAACTGATTGATGTAAATTCACTAGAGCGCGACGATCAGTCAGTTATCGATTTATTCACAAAAGATATTTGTAAGACAATATTGTGGAAAGATTTCTGTAAGAACAGCTGACAGGCGAACTCGGGAAAGCTCTAATAAGCCCAGAAAGAGCCGAAGACACTCCATCCAATCATCTTTTGGAAGAATATTCCAGAATCCTTACATGTAGCTTCCCTATTGGACAAATGCTAATAACCCTCTGTACGTGAATTGAATCTCTATAATGCTGATTACGTTTTTACTAAAAACTATAAATACCTAACAGCTTTGTATCATAAATGACATTGTTTGAAGTAGCATTCTTTTCACTTATCTTCTGTCTTCTTATATGCAATGTGGAGGGTTCTAGCGTCCAAGTGCTCAAGTTATACGTGGTATATTAAGAATCTAAGCTCTAGACATAACAGTTTCTTATTCGATAAAGTTTTATTCAGAAATCAATTTTCAAGTAAGATTGATGTTAACTCCAAAACAAAATCGTGTCTTTTACTATTATTCTCATTAAAACTTGAGTTCATGAATGATCATATACCCATCTCTTCATTTTCCCAATATGCAAAGTTCTCAACAGAGAGCAATACTGGAAAGACATAAAAGGGATATAAATGTCAAATAGTTCAAGAGTTGAAGAACTTTACTTATGAGAATTGTTATGACTTTATATCCGGCTAGTTATCACGTGATTTCTCCACCAATCAAAATACGACATATACAATCTTAACACTGCCAAACCAATGACGTTCGACCGGTATGGGCAACCTAGCATCCTTATTGGTCTTATGTCCATTTAGCCCGTCCACTTGAGTCCAGAACACCAATATCAGCTTCTACTATGCGAATCGAAACGAATCGTTTATTTCAGACATACTGGGCTTATATATCAATCAAACAGACCGCAACGCACCATAAAATAGGAAATAACATTTGTACACAATAAAGCCAAAAAGTGGCTGTGAACGTGGGAGGTAATGGTTAATGAACTGAACATAGTTTAAGAACCGTAAATCGTACAATAATAATATATAAGTCAAAATAAAGCTTATAACAAGGGGAATATAGATATACATAATCTAGTTACCGAATATTTTTACCATGAGAATATATAAATAATAATAGTTCATTAATAAGTCTCAGACGTTACTCGTAATTCGATCTTCACTAGGATATAACAAGAATATTTTAGTATAGTTTAAACAAATGTCCTAGGTTCGAATCTCGCACACTGCTAAGAAGTCCCACAACAGGATGGAACGACCGTCCAGTGCTTCCAGGCTTTCTATGGTGGTCCAGCTTCAATTGACTGATGATCTCAACTATTGAAATCACTATAATATCCACAAAAACCTTTTTGATGACACTTAACATATGCTCACTAATGACTGGCTTCAAGAGGTATTTACTGGATTTCTAATAAGAAGCAGTGACCAGTAGAGTTCAACCGGGTCTGTTGTGAGATAGTAACTCACTGATGACAATGGTAGATTTGTCGCTCAATTTCGTGGATTAGTTGAAGTTAGACATTCACACCATTGGATCCCATTCAGTTCAGTGGCCTAATGGTTAAGCGCTCTCACGTGAGACCGATAGTTCATGGGTTCAAATCTTCCAACGCAGGATCATGGATACATACTACTAAGATGTCACACAATATAATGAAACGACCATCCAATGCTTCCAAGTTTTCCATTGATGATCTAGTTTCAATTAACTCATAATCTTAACCCTATCTTCTATAGAAACAAATTATCATATATTACTTACTTTTCTTTTGCTTCTTCTAATGCTATTAATTTAGCTTGTTTTGCTGCAGTTTCAGCACGTATTAATGCATATTCAACACATTCTTTTAATTTTGTTTGACGTACTAAATGTAATTTATTTTTACGATTAATTTTATTAATTAATTGATTCGCTTGAAATTGTCCTTCATCACGTGTACCATTTGGATTAATTAATATACCATAACCATGTTTTTGATTACGTATCCATTCACCAATATATATTATACCATTAGAACGTTCTGATATACCATAACCAGAACGTTGATCTTGAAACCATTCACCAGAATATATTTCTATTACACTAATATATTGATTATTATTATTAGTATTATTTGATTGAAAATCAATAATGTAATCAATATTTTTTTGTATTTTTTCTTTCTTTGTTGTATTATTTCCATGTGTATCATTTAGATTACTTAATGGATTATTAATAGTAGTAGTAGTAGGAGTAGTAGGAGTAGTAGGAGTATTGTCATTAGTAGTATTAGTAGTAGTAGTGGTAGTAGTAGTATTGTTATAAGTAGTATTAGTATTAGTAGTAGTAGGAGTAGTAGGAGTAGTATTAGTACTAATTATTGACCGACCTAATTCAATCGCTGAATGTTGTTTTTTTAATCGACGCATAATTGCTCTACCAATTACAGCTTTACGACTTACGGATAAAGTTTCTTTTAATGGTAAATTTATATTAGAACTATGATGTTTATCATTAGATTTAAGTGATTGATTAATGATATGAATGTTTTTCATTTGATCTAATTCATTTAGATATTCTGTTTTTGTAATCGGTATCTTTGTTGTTGTTGTTGTGGTGGTGGTGGTGGTACAGCTGGTGGTGGTGGTGGTGGTACAGGTGGTGGTGGTGGTAGTGGTAATAGGATTAGTAGTAGTAGTAGTTATTGTTTCCGTGTTTATAGTAGTATTTGGTAAATTATCTGACAATGTTGTATTAGTTTTATAACTAATGAATGATTTACGAACACCTAAACCATGACGAAATCCTTTTGACCAAGCACCAGCATATATACCTATAATAAAGAAAAGAATTGAAAACGACATTAAGAAAATAAACAAACAAAAGGATTTTATCTGGAAAAAGGAAGAAAATAAATAAATCAGTATTAGAAGGGGGGTTTTATGGAGATTTCAGTAATCTAATAGTTGAATTCATGACATAATTAAAGGTAGATCACTATGGAAAACCTGGAAGCACTGGACGGACGTTTCGTCTTAGTATGGGACTCTTCAGCACTGCGCGTCCATGATTCCACCCACGGTATTCGAACCTTCAACTAATCCATGAAATTGCGCCACCATGCATCATTATCTTCAATAAGTTACTATCTCACTTGTATCTTCCCATTGTTATTTAGGACTGCAATTGATCAGTGTCTTGTTAACATCTGTATATCCTGTGCGGATTTACTCGATATAGCCTTAAGTCACAAGCTTTTTAAGCAAATATAGATGGTGGCTAGCAGTGGAATCCAGAATGCGCGTTTTGTCTTATTTTGGACTTGTCAGCTAGATGTAACTACATGCTAGAATTGATGTTCACTTTGGAACTCGAACCCAGTACCGTTCGATTCAAACTCCATCGCGTTATCCATCGAGTCTCGGAGTGAACATCAACTCTAAAATGCAGGTACATCCAGTTGACGAGTTCTGTACAACTGTGGTATGTACTAATGATATCCAGCGGTGTTAATGTCAAACCTCAACGAATCCACGAAATTACGCGACCATCTCCCATTTTACTGAGGTAGATATCAGTTTCTACCCGACACGGATTAGCTCCACTAGTCATGACTTCCTGCTAGAACTCAAAGAATTCCCTCACGAAGCTAATCATTAGTGAGCACATGGTAATTATCAATCAGCATAGGGTTGTGGAGTTTACTAAGTTTTTGATTGAGATCATGAACCGATTGATGTTAGACTACCATTGAAAACCTGGAAGTACTGGATGACCGTTTCGTCCTATTGTGAAATTCCTCAACAGTGCGCATCCACAACCTAGCTCGCAGTATTCGAACCCAGGGCATTTAGTCTCGCGGGCGGACGCTTAACCTCTGGACTACTAAGCCGGCATAGAACGATGTTAATTCGGTTGTCACTATTTGTGTGTTCTCATTCACCACACAATTTTATAGACAAAATTTATTTTACATACAACTGAATATGAATCGACTTTAGTTATATAATTATTAAAAAACCAGTAGGTAATAGACAGTTTTGTTTCATCCCAATTTCGAATTCATCATCAGTGTTCATTTATGTTAAGCTTAACAACAATCGACCATAGGACCTTCAAGTCTGGTGATAAGAATGTAATCCTTAAAGATAACTAAGTTGGTATTCAATGGTTTACATGTTAAAGTTTCCATTAATTAATGATATTCTTTTAAGTCTTTGATGTCGTTCAATCATATGCATATATGCCTACTTCTTATATTCAAGTTAAACTTCAATCGTGAATTACAAGACGCACAATGAATAGGAAGCTGTAACTATCAATCATGGCCTATTGTATATAACATATCAATACATGTATATTCCTCTCTCTTGCATATAAAGTCTAAGACCTTAACAAAGTATATAATTAGCTTCATATAATAGTGTGCATTACTGTAACCTCTCACTTAGCCCTTTACCTTAAGACAATTTATGACCATAAGTACCATTATGACCTAAGTCATTATGGGTTTTTTTATCAACTTGCAACTGAATCTAATAATTTCTTATAATGTACTTAGTGTTAATTGGTGCTGGTCAACAAATTGTCCCAGTAATCTCAAAGAAACTAATTGTGTATTTTTAGTTGGTGGAGAAGATTTGTAGCTCAAATGGATGATCTTGGTGGAGTTTTGTTCTCTCAGCTGGATGGTTTGGTGATAGAGCTTTCAAAATTCTTCTGAACAACAAACGTCTACCTAAAGTTTATGCTGATGCTCTCGTTCAGAAGAATGATACTGTATTGGAATACAACTCATCTAGTTAGTTATTCTGAGGTATTAGAACTAAGCTATTAAGACTGCGACTGACCTCCTGTAAGATAGATATACTGATGGATTACTGAGTAGTGAAAAATATCATTTTTGTCCAGATTTTTCATTCGAATATAGTTCTATTGGTAAAGTTGCAGCGTAGCTACTAGTCTAAGTGACTCGAGATTGCGTAAACTATACCTGAATATTAAATGATTGAAGATGGTTAGCAGGAAATTTTTTGATATAGGTTTTATCCTAGCTGACACTTACCAGGTAGGCATACGTTTATTTTTCAGTGAATGGTTACTCCTTAAGGAATTCGAAATCTTCGTCTCACACTATCATAATGTTAGTCATGTTATCATTGCTCTATTTGGACCGGTATAATTTCCTTCATGTTTTCAGATATAGACCTTCCCATACAGTGTCAACTAATATGAAACTGATATCGAAGAGAATGTTTTCATAATCAAAATACTCAGCAACCCATTTTTGTAAAAAATAAACTGACTACTGTACATATCGAAAAATGATAACATACTTCCATCAGCGCATGTTTCAATTCCAAAACCTTCAAATCGATTTACATTCCAACTACCTTCATATTTTGCTTGATTATTTATTGATGTTTTCACTCCATATTGACTAAAAGCACCTGAATTAAATTCACCTTGATAAATCCATTTTCCTCTCACTTGAATACCATTACCATGACGTTTTCCTTTAATCCATGTACCAGCGTACATATTTCCATTTGGCCATAAATATACACCACATGTTTCAAAACCTAAATTCCATTCACCAGAATATTCACCAACACCATTTGGTCCTGTAGCTAAACCAAGTCCATGAGCTGAACCTTGATACCAATTACCAATATAAGTACCACCATCATTAAAATCAAAACGTCCACCGTCTGTATTCATTTGATTATAATTTCATATAAATACTATCTATCTATACATTTGTATAAATGATATCAACAATTAACCATTTGTATATTATAGTATACTTGATTTTGAAGGTCTATATTCAGAGTTTAATGTTTGGTTTTAAGCATATTCCAAATTGAATCTACAAGGTTAAATAGATATCAAAATGTTTGATCTGAGAAGATTGAATAGTTTACATTGATTATCAGTTTTACTAATGTCATGGAAAAAAAAGAATAATTTATAGAAAGACGAAGAAATGATGAAGTTTAGACTCCACAACAGTATGTATCATCGATATCGCACATGGGACTCGAACTCAGGAGCTTCGATTTTATGCACAAATGCTTAACCTCTAGATCACTGTGACAGTATCCTACGATGTTGATGTTTAACTTCAGAAACAGATCATAAAGTTTGATTTGGTATTCTCTAGTTGATTCAATCTTGTGTTATCTAGTTTTATAGACAAGCGATACTACTAATGAATTATTCAATCTGTAAAATGACTGTATAGAATTGAGAAATAGATATGCTAATTGACGATTTGATAGAATTTGATGTTATTCTATCTGATCATACAGTTTCTAAGGAAGAAGAAATGTGAATGTTCACCATTGGTACAATCATATACATCATAATACATCCGATTCCATAAGTAACACTAAGATACTTTATCAAGTACTAATCTAAAATATCACTCATTCCGCATCTGCTTATTTCTCTTAATCGAACCGGTTATGACATATCACTTTTTCTTATTTAAAAGACTGAATTATAGATTTCAGTTTATGAATTAAGTATATACAATGTATTTGAATGATTTCAGTTACTTAGAATTAAAACAGAAATAAGTCATTAATTATTTTTAAAAAAAGATGGATAGTAGCTAGCAGTGGAGTCCGGGACATGCGTTTCATCCTATTTAGGACTCGTCAGCTGGGTGTACCTAAATCTCAGAGTTGGGACTTGAACCCAGTACCGTTCGCTATAAACGCCATCGTGTTATCAACTTAGCTACTAAGTAAAGTAAGTAAGTTCAGTATTTCAATGTAACGCGATGGTGTTTGAAGCGAACGGTAGTGTACTGAATTCGAGTCCCGGAGTGATCATTAACTTTGAGATACGAGTACTTTTAACTTATGAGTCCCACAGTAGGACGTAACGGCCGTTCAGTACTTTTAGGTTTTCCGTGATGCTCTAGCTACAATTGACTTATGAATTCAATTATTAAATTCATAAAATCTCCATAAAAAGCGCTCTCTGATTTTAGAAATTTCACTGGTTGAAATCATGATTCATTTGAAGCTAGACCACCATGGAAAACTCGGAAGCAGTGAACGGCCGTTTCGTCCTATTGTGGGACTCCTCAGCAGTGCTCATCCACGACCTTGTCTCCTGGGAGGTTTGAATCCAGGACCTACTGGTTTCCATGGTGATCTAGTTTCAATTGACTTATGATTTCAATCAGTGAAATTTCTAGAATCTCAACAAAACCCCTTCTGATTTCGAAAATGTTTAATTAACAGTTAGAGTTTAGTTTAACTATCATTGATTATCTCTCTGTAATTTTTTGTTTTCAAGGAATTTTTCTACGTAAAGCACTAATTAGATTAAAAAAGAAGAAGGAAATTAAATTATCAAGATATATGGTGACCTTGACGTAAAATTCGATTCTGAAAGTATAATGTTAATTTTAAAAAGTGTATCATCGGCGAGACTTTAATTTATGGACGAGCCAATCAGAAGCGTTTTAGAGATTTCAAGGGTACGACGCCAACTTCAGTGCTTAAGGCTAACGTACGATCGGTTCACAGGGAATTTTGTACAAAACGTGATCATTGAGTGGCTATAACAAATAAAACGGCAAGACTATAATTTGTGGACGAATCAATCAGGTATAAGATAATAGATCTCGGATTTTAACGCGAAAGCCTTTCATCCATTTGGCTAGATTAATTTCTGGCATTATAGTTGATGTCAGTTCGTGATGAAAACCACATATATATATATGATTCCTAACTAAGGCAAACTACGACAATTATTGCGGACTGGATAATAAAAGCACCAGTAACACTGGCTGCAGCCAGGTACTTCAATACATACGAATGTTTGGAGAGCCTACAGACTCCTACATAGGCTTGGTTATGTGTATCGTGTCGTTATCCACAAGTCGCATTTTGTGGACTCAACAACCGGAGTGCACATAAACAATATTGAAGCCATATGGTCGAGGCTGAAAGGGTTTTTGAGACTTTATCACGGCTCCAGAGGCCGACTATTCTGTAGCCATATGAATGATTTCCTCTAATGAATACAATACGATTTAAGGACCTCCGAACCTCTTTCTAACCTTGACAAGTTTTTGAACCACGTATAAGAAGTGCATCCACTTTATTTTCTTGGTTTTGTATAACATATTTTTACTCTATACTGACTGTTTGCTGATTGGCTAATATTTCTCCAGGTCGATTAGGATTCGTTTGAATGTCGTCCATAAATTAGAGTGTCGCCGTATCATCTTGAGTAATAGATACCTATTTAAGCGTTTTATGTTCACTTAAAGACATAAGCTCACTAATCATAATTATCTGTCGAATAGGTACCTTGGTAAGAAGCCTTACCCACCCCCACCCCCTTCTCACGAAGAACGCTGTCTAAATGGAGAAACAAAAGTTCATAACTCTCAAGATTTTCTGTCTTTCAATTTGTTTAAATAATCAACTCAAATGATGGATAGTGGCTAGCAGTGGAATCCGGGACGCGCTTTTTGTCCTATTTGGGACTCGTCAATTGCAGTCTTAAACCTCAATGGGAAGATACAAGCCAAACAATGCCAAGTGAATCAACTTAAAGTTTATTGACATTATTGAATGAATTTGACCAGATAATCAATCATTTGCTTATTCGAGAATAGTTTCAATTTGGATTATTGAGTTTTAAATGGGGAATCTTGATATGTCTTAGTGAAATGTGCTTAAACAAAACATATACACAACATCTTCTTATACTGAAGATAAAACTTTCAACTTTTACTTCTACGCAAAATTCCTGAGAATCAATGGTGCTGAAAGCGAGATAATTAACATTGATAACATCACAACATTATAATTTATTTGAAATGAGATATATAGTTCAATGGATGTCAATTTCGGCTTTAACTCATCGTGAATCTCAAATATCACATGTTTGATCCCTAGATAAGTCAAAATAACTAATCCCAAATAGGACGAAACGCTCATCCTGGATTTCACTGCTAGCCACTATCTATATTTGCTTAAAAAGCTTGTAACTTGAGGCTATATCGAGGCAATGCGCATAGGATGCACATATATCAATAAGAGACTGATCGATTACGGTCCTAAATAACAATGGGGAGATACAAGTAAAGCAACACCAAGTAAATCTACTGTTATCTACATGTCAATGATAGTCTATTTAAAGTTACTTCTTAATGCAAACTATCTTAGAAATGAATATTTCAAAAAGCAGAAGAGTTTTTGTAGATATTATAATAATTTTAATGGTTGGAATCATGAATCCATTGAAGCTAGACAACCATGAAAAACCTAGAAGCACTGAATGGCCGTTTCGTCGTATTGTAGCTGCTGGGTTCAAATCTCGCAAGAAGGCATCATGGATACTCACTGTTTACTTGACTCATGATCTCAACCATTAAGATTTCAAAAATCGATAAAAGATACTATTGTTGTTATGATTACACAATTTCTCACTATAATTGTACATTTAAAATATCAATAATCAATTAAACTGATGATTATTACAAACATCTTAAGATAATTTAATTTTACAGATTGAAATCATGAGTCAATTGAAGCTAGACTACCATGGAATACTCGGAAGCACTGAACGGCCGTTCCGTCCTAGTATGAGACTCCTCAGTGGCAGTGCGCATTCACGATCCCTCACCCTGAGAGACTCGGCCCCAGGACCTATCACTCTCGTGCCAAGCGCTTATCCAACTAGACCACTGAGCTGGCCGGCATCCAACGGTGTTCACGTCTAACTTCAACCAATCCACGACGTTCACTCATAATTTCAATCTGTGAAATTTCTAAAATCTTCACAAATTCCTTCTGATAATCATTTAATTTATCTTATTACCATGTGAATGATCAAAAAGGCAAAAAAAATATTCGATATATTCATGCTAAGTATAGTTATTTACATTGATGTATGTATGTGAGTTGCTATGTGGATAGGTGTATCTGAAAGGATTGACATCATAATAATAATAAGCTAGAACAAGTTGTCTTCATTTGAGTAATTCTCATATATATATGTATATTCCTTTTTTTATTACATAATCAATGTGATAGAAGAGTTTTTGTTATGGATAGAAAAACTTAGTGAGTGAAAAATAAGAATAAGAATAGGGGTAATGAATGAAAAAGAAGAGTATCCAGGATAGAGAGTGTGTGTGTGTATGTGAAAGAGAGATCGATTAAATTCGATTACAAATGATTTTGATTTGAATATTGAATAAGAAAAAAGTAACATAAAAACCAACTTAGCTAAATAGTTAGTCAGTCAGTTACAATGTAGGATCAGGCACATATATACATCGGTCCAAGTTGCCATACCTTTGTAGTGACTTAATTTTATCAAGAGAACGCGATTGATTTAATGGAAACAATCATTATTATAACCAGTTGTACCAGTGATTGTTTAACTGTGCTAAAGACAATCATATTACTGCTCCATTATCTTTCGATTGTGAACTTGCATGGGTTCGGTTATGCTCGGTAACCACGTTTGTACTCCTTTGGTACGATATCGGTATCCTTTCGATACCACGAGATCGCCAACAAATACATCTCGACTATAGCCATCAACTGCTTTCTGATATTTGGCTTACGGGGGATTTTATCGGTTAACTAACACGTATTCTTCTTGTAGTGGTGTTCATAGTCAGTCGCGACTCGACCCCACGCTACACCTTATGAGCACAATAAGATGAACACCAAAATCAT